ATGCCAGGCCAGCAAAACCGTTCTGCTATAAGCTTGATGGTTGCACGAACACCTGGATGCGAAAGTTTGTGCAATGTGTTGAAGACATTGCGTCGATAATGTTTCGGCACGATTGGGCGATCCCTACCTGTAGATGTGTCACAAAGTAAGGTTTCCTTACCTGTTCCCATCTGTTTGATGCGTAGTTTAAGTGTTGTGGACGATAACTCGTGCTGAAGATCAGTGTCTTCTTTTTGAAGCTCGGCGAGTTTAAGAAGGTCGATTCCTTGGAAACTGTTCAAGGAAGTTATGCGAGATAAGGCGTCTGCAACTACATTGTTTGCTCCAGAGATGTGTTGAATATCTGAAGTAAACTGCGAAATGCAGTCCAGTTGTCGAGACTCACGGGGAGAGTACTTGTCAGAAGGAGAGCTTAACGAGAAAGTGAGCGGTTTATAATAATAATAATAATATATTTCTGCATGTGCAGGTACACACCGTTTTTACAGGCATGATCTATAAATTACAACATTTTTTGGTTCGCAAAATGCTTCCCAACTTATTAAGTTTATAGTTGTTATAAAGTGAAATCGTAGAGCGCTTGCTGTAAACTATGACCTTGAGAGGACGCGTACGTCAGGTTTTCTCCAAACGTCAGAAGTTTCATAGCTGTGCTCTCAGAGCAAGATTCTGAAAAAGAAAAAAAGAGAAACAGAAGAGCAGCAAGGCACTTGGATATGAACGCCAAAGGTTGCTTAACATAGTGTAGTAGTACGGACAGAGGTAGAATAAATCAGAATAAGTTCATATTTTGTATTGTTAGAGTGAAGTGAAGTCCGAGGCTCCATATTAGAGAATGTACTAATAAAGAACAATGAGTTGTGATATTTAACAAGTTGGAGTAAGCTCACATGAAGGAAAGGAAGTCAAGGTTGGTACAAGGGAAGCGGTTTATTAGAAGGGTGTGTATATAGAGGGTGTAGTGTTAAGAATACTAGTGACTATATCTCTTATTGTCTTTTTTCTTTTTTTTTTGTCCATCCGATGTCGGCCACGCAATCCTAGTGTAAAAGAGTGAAAAGAGTGAATTCACGGCCTTCGATATAGTGTTGGAAATGCCGTACAGCACAATACATAGCTAGGAGTTCCCTACCGAATGTGCTGTACCTCGATTCGATGTCTAGCAACCTTCTTGAGAAAAATGCCAAGGGTTGCCAGGAGTTGTTAACCCATTGTTGTAGGACTCCTCCGATTGCCGAGTCAGATGCGTCTACTGCGATACTAATGGGTGCTTCGGTGTCCTGATGTGCGAGCATTGTTGCTTTAGCAATCAGTTCCTTAACTGTGGAGAATGCTTTTCGTGCGGTGTCATCCAAATTAATGGATTTCGCATTTCCACGAAGTTGGTCGGTCAGAGGTTTCATAAGTAATGCGCATTTCGGTATGAAACGTCTATAGAAACTTACGAGGCCGTTAAACGTGCGTAATTGCTTGACGGTGGTCGGTTCTGGGTAATCCAGAATGGCCGCCACTTTGGTTCTAAGGGGTCGGATACCTTGAGCATCGATAGTGTGTCCCAGAAAGTCTAATGTGTCGGTTCCGAATTGGCATTTCTGAACGTCTACAGTAATGCCATGTTTTTGTAGTCGTTCGAAAACAAGGTCCAGATGCTTGAGATGTGTTTCTCTGTCCGGACTTGCGATTAGACAGTCGTCAACATACGCGTGTACGGAGTTGAGACCTCGAAAAACGTCGTCTATGAATCTTTGGAATGTTTGAGCAGCATTCCTTAGACCGAAAGGCATTCGCAAAAATTCATAGAGTCCGAAAGGAGTTATGATAGCTGTTTTCGGTATGTCGTCAGTAGCCATAGGGATTTGGTTATACGCTTTAACCAAGTCGATTTTCGAAAAGACAGTTGTACCCTTCGAGGTAGCTGTCAAATCGTGAATGTGAGGCAACGGGTAACGATCGGGAATGGTTTTCGCGTTCAATCGCCGATAGTCACCAGTTGGACGCCAATCGTTGCTGTCCTTTTTAGGGACCATGTGCAACGGAGATGCATATGGGCTACTTGACGGTCGTATGATTCCTAAGTCCATCATGTGATCGAATTCGTTTTTCGCTAACCTTAGCTTTTCAGGAGCTAGTCGTCGTGCTTTAGAGAATACAGGTGGTCCTGTAGTCGTGATGCGATGTGTAACGTTGCTGGTTACACACGGTAGTTTCGGTTGAGTTTGTTGTATCCCAGGGTACTTATCGAGTAGTGGTTGATAGAGTGGGTCTATCATATGTTTAACTGTGACTGGGGATACTCTACAACCAGTAAAAGAAGTTACGCAAACGGACAAATTAGTGTTTCCGTCTACTAGCCTCCGTTTGCGCGTATCGATGGTCAGATTGTGATGTTGTAGAAGGTCCATACCAATGATTGGCATAGAAACATCTGCAACAACGGAAATCCAGTGAATGGGTTTGCGTAAACCCACGTTAAGGTAAACGTACCTTTTGCCATACGTAGCGATCGGTTTTCCGTTTGCCGCCTGTAAGTTAAAAGCCGATTCCTGAAGCCGGTCGTTAGGATTTGCTGGGAGAACGCTAACTTCTGCGCCAGTGTCGACGAGGTAGCGAACTCTCGTTGTCACATCTGTGACGAATAACAGACGGCTTTGTTCGCCGGCTACGGTTGCCGTTAACGCGTGCCGGCTTGGAAGTTTCCCGAATTGGTTTTCGAATCAGTCGGTTTCGTGTTGGGAAAATTGCAGGGTTTTCTGCAATTTCTGGAAAGCTTTCCATACTGGTTATGATACCAGCACCAGTCGGGGTTATCTGTCTCTCGTGGTCTAGAGACAGATCGCTTACGAGAAATGCTTCTACGTGATGTGCGCGATGTCTTACGGTCGGTACGAAGACTAAGATAACGCGTGAGTGTGTGACATAAGTCGTTTATATCATTCTGAGTCGTTTGAGGTTTTTCTTTGACTAAAAATACCTCGGTAGTAGAAGGTTTCGTAATTTCTAAAATGCGGTCGGCAGATGCAGCTAGCTCGTCTAAGGCGTTGTTCTGGAACGAGACCAAAACTGCTTGCACCTGTTGGGGAAGTTTTGACAAGAAGAGTTGTTTGAATAGACCTTCGTCGAAAGTTCTTGGGCCTATTACCTCTCTCATCCGTTGCAACATGTCCGTCGCAGAACCGTGTTGCAGGTCGATATTGTTGAAGAGTTGATCTAACCTTTGTCGATCGGTTAGGTCTCCTCGTTTAAGAATCGAGCGTTTTAAGATTTCGTAAGGATCGGAAACATCACTAGTAAACATACTAGGTGTTACGTACCTGTTGAATTCGCGCGGTAGTGCCTTGACTACTGCGAGGAATTGTGCACGTGTGTCGATCACGCCGTGCTCGGAGAAGTCGGCTTCTGCGTAGCAAAACCAGGCTTCGATGTTGTCGGGCCAGAAAGGCATCAGTTGAAACGAAGGCGGGGACAAAGTCTTAAGCTTGAGTACTTTAGGTGTCTGTTCAGTCATGATGAAGTATGAAGTACGATAATGAACAAGGGGAAAATATATATATCCAGGAAAAAACACGAAAAAAAAATAAAAAAATAAGGCAATGATATATAAAAATCCCAAAAAGGAACAGACTCACAGTTGCTATTAGGTGTACCAGATCACGTCGGTCTCACGAATGATGATGTCACAGGTATTCAGTGTTTGACAACGCTTCTACCAGTAACACCTTCTAATGTATTTCGTTCCCGCCCAGAGAAATCAAAAGACAGAGTCGAGGAGATCGGAAGAGTATATTTGGCGATGACCAATATATCGAAATTCTCTGACCTAATCTGGCTAGCGATTGCGGTTGATGTTGAGCACGGCGTCACCACACGTGATCTGGTGCGGATGCCTGACCGAGCGCCTTCAGCTAGATGAGCCCACTAAAACACATGGTCAGCATCCAATGTCGAAAACTTACAGAGCTATTTATTTTGGGGATTTATTTACCGCTACAGCACCTTTTTATCCGTACAGCAGAACGTACAAAGCCAATGCGAGTTAGGCTTCGAGCATCTGTTGTATGCCATCGGACTTAGGCGTGTACACATTTTGTGGTACCACTTTTTACAGTCATCACACTGCATCCCCTCCTCAACGGGGAACAAACAATTTGGTTGCCCACATTTGTGAGTCTTATCAACCATTGTAATTAGATTTAAAAGGTTTAAAAACACAAAATGATTACAAAGTGAACACAGATGTTAGTCAAGGACTTAAAAATGGTATTCAGGACAAAATTTAGCAAAAAATTTCAAACTTTAACCAAAGTACTTTTAGTTAAAGTAGACCAAGAATGCTTTTTGGTGCAATAAGTACCCAAAGCAAGTATAATCACAACAAGTAATTTTATCACGAAAATGCAGGTGCAATGTGAAGCATGGGCGTCTAGTCATAAACCCATGTTGGGATGAGCTAATCAGGCTAGCCGAAAGTAAAGATGATAATAGCTGTATGTGGATGACTTTGCCATGGTTTTTGATAGCACAGGTGTCAAATTAATGGCATCCAAGTCGCTTGAATAATTTCTTCGTGACCATGGTGTTATGAGAGTTTTTAGATAGATCCTAGCCAGTTTACGACCGTAAACCAACCAAAAGTCTGCACGTAAAATGGATAAAAACAGGTGGTACTAAATGTTAGGAAATGCTAAAACTAGCTTTGACGTTGAAAAGTGTTAAGAAACGAACAGCAGGCTGATGCAAAACCACAGCCAACTATTAACTTAGGTAAAACTCAAAGAAAAAAGTAATCTACCAAACATAAATCTCAAGAAATATTCTTTGGATCGAAAATGATACTGTTGTTGAGTAAGAACACAGCAAAAGATAGAGATGCAAATCATTTTCAGTTCGTGAAGCTTTCGTTTAACATCACTAGAATTTATGCATTTCTTCACAAATGTTGAATAAACTACCGTTTTTCTCCTAGATGACTTCATGTTTTTTCCAAACTGAAAATGTACAAGGTCGTGTGAAGGAGAGCGCGATCCAGTTTGGAGGTCAATCACTTTTATTCCTTGTATCTCAGTCTTCCGGATCGTGTCAAACTTTCTTCCAGGATTTTGGCCAATTTCTCTGTCTGCTAGGATATGAGTTCACAGAAAGGTAACACTCAGCGCACACGACCTCAGAAATATAAGAATACTAAGGCTTTTAAAAACAACTTGCATGATACGTCTAAAGAGGTCAAACGTCTCAACAATCTGACGTTCGACTTTTTGTGTCCTAGATGTACAGGTGTTGTGCAATGGAGAGTCAAATACAAAAAGTATCATCAATTAGCAAACCCTAGAGTTTGGTAAGTTGGCTAACATTTTTATGTATAAACGGTATATCGTTGCCTGATAACGCTGTTTATCAGAAGAAAAACTTCCAAAAAACCATCCTTTATATCATGTCTCAAATAACTCGTTAAGTTACCCTGTTCATTATTGGATGTCAGGAAATGTTTTGTAATTCGTATTTGTAAATATGCTTACATGTAAACCGATTTTTGAAATTGTAACTTCAAAAACCGTTTCCCTTATGATAAAAACACTAGTATTATTTATCATTTGCCTCAGTTATTTATTCTCATTCATATCCTCGTTCACCGTCAAGGTTCATTTATTACGTACAATTATTTCTTTTGAGTCTGAATACTTACTCTGCAGGTAGTGATTTGCTTTTCGTATTTTTATCTTAAATCTGAGAGGAGTATTTTTCACTTTGTTGCAAATGCTTTTCTACAGAACTTTACTCAGTCAACTGTTAAAAACGTTCATCAGATAGGATGTATCTGATAAAATTAGAACAGCTCAAAGCTTAGAAAGCTCATGACTCATTCAGATAGAATATCACTAATCAAAGTACGATGAAGTTTACATCTTACGTACTGTCTTGTTTAAATGGTTCTCCAAATTCATCAAATGGAAAGATTAAGTAGGTACAGTTTAATTATAAATAATCGGTTGCTTCGGTTTTTTAGTGGATTGATATCTAGTTCTAGTGCGAAAGTTTTGTTTATAGTAGTAAGGTCAGTTATTTTCCCTAACTAGTTTTATTTTCAGTTTTGATGTACTCTATGCGGTTAGGTTCTCTCATATAAAATGGGATCTCTTAAGGCGTTATTTGGAATAGTTGGTGGTTCTTCAGATGAAAAATGCAGTTTTAAGTTACTTTCTGGTAAATTTGATTACTTTCATAGTAGCAACTTATTAAGTGCGTCTCTCAAAACACAGCATTCTTTTAGGTCATTGACCTGATAAGACTCGTCAGGATATTTGAGGCACTGTCAATGAACCTATGAGTCAGGAGTTTCCGAAAAATCATGCTGTCTTGAGAAGTGTATAGTGATGGTTTATGAAGAGGAATTTGAGAATTTATGAGAAAAGCTATTCAGAAAATTTACTGTGATTAATAGTGTGAAATTTGGTTTGACAATAAATTGTTTTGCACTGCTATAAGGCTTCATGAACAATAAAAGCAGATGGTGCCCTCAGATAAAAAATATGGACATAGGTAAGTGCCTGTAACTACGCTTATTTCTTAGCAGGGGATTTATTAATACACCGATAACCCACATAAGAAACCTGTCAACATTTCTAGTGTTCCGTGCCTGTTGACCTCAGGTATACCAATAGTAGAAGACTAAGCGCATATGTATCGTATGTTTTGCATTTCGTATCAGTACAACTAAAGGGAATACGTGGATCCAAAGATAATGTTATCCATAATTGTGAGGAACCAAAGGAAAATACCCTAAAACTACCCCTGTTTGTGGGTATCGACAACAATATCAGCTGCCTCATTTGATGAAAACTCATAATTTCTTGAACCAATTTACCCATTTATTGAATGTTCTACCTGACTCGGTGAATTATCAATAAACTACCATTTTTTCTAGAGCATGTGCAAGACATTTCTGAATGCATTCTAGTACTTTGCCGCAGTTGTTTCACACCACTTAGGTGATATGTAGGGGGCTGTTTTACTATTTGATACAATGACAGAAATCTTATCTACTTTGCAAATAAACTAAGTAATCGTGCCAAGATTTTGTCAGCAGGCGAATCACCGAAATTTATGTGATTGAAATATGAATGGACTGTTATTTCCGCTTCACTACTGTTCTTGAATTGGACACTGACGACTGCCGAGAAATGCATACCAGTCATTTTTTGAGCTGCTACACAAGATGAGTGGCTCATTGATTACAACTTGGCTTTCGACTTTCAGGCTGCAAAGAAAATTCTAATCCTCTTATTTCGGTTCAGATAGTCGAATAGAATCACTGGCCCCTAAGCAAAGGATACAACTTGAAGTAAAGACCATAAAACTACATACTTAGTTACGCAACTACTCGCTGTATTTACCGTCTTCCTCAGTCTAAACCACCTTGTACATTCTAGGTTGGTAAAATAATATTTTGGCAATCGGTCAATTCATGATGATTGTGTTACTTTTGGGAGCGTTTCCACAAAACAACTGAATAGAAATAGGAGAACGAATTAGTTCTAACGAGGGTTAACCAATGTTACTTTATGTGATGGTATAGATTTTTAATGTGGATGATTGTCATATTTTATAGAATTAAATTTTAACTACACCGAAACTAACTTCGCCAAACTTCTGTTTGAAACCTATTGTTTGGATTGTTAATAGTCTTATTGTTGTTTTCAATAATGTAATTGCTTGATTGAATAACTGAAGAAAGCCGTCTTTATTCACCAAAAATTGGGAATTAGTTTCACTGTATCGTTATTTCTTTTCTATCCTGATAGTGTGAAGTGTAACGGGAAGACTGTAAAGCAAGCCTACCATACAATCTGTACAGATTGTTCAAGTGCTTTGAAAATCTGCTCTAAGTGTGGAAAATCGGATGGATCGATTACCTTCGGGTAAGTAGTTCCCTTAATTAAGCATAGTATTTATGATCACTGGTGGTTGAAAGTGATATGAATGTCCTCTGTAAGGAACAGTTCACCAAAATAATACTCTTATTACGGTTAACAAGTCCTCCTTACAGCGCTAAGCATAAGGTATCAAAAAAAGTGATAAAAATTAGAAATAACACTGATTGCTGAACACGCTCAGCATCTTTAAAGTATTCATTTACCATGATCATTTGCATGGGCCCTAATGTACTTGTATCTTGTTTTAAAAGACATGCAAAGAAAAAGTTTTTGACTATACTGAATAACTTATAATTGATACAAAAATGATAGGTAAATTCCAATTGTCTGCATACAACCATATTCGTTTTAGTTCGAAGGCTCAAAAATAACCTCAATAGCACCATCCAAGGTCACTAGTGACACAGCAGTTGCTTTTAAAATTCCGAGAAAGTACAGGAAAAGATTGCAGAAGTACACAAGTGATTTATAGGAATTGATAAATCCCGAGATTTAGTACTCACCAATGCCTCTTGACAAAATAAATTAAGTAGGGAGTTTTTCTTAATGTCAGCAAAGTATAAGAAGACTAGGAGAAATAATAAATAAATCTAACAATAGTAAATGTAAGTCTTTATAAGAGAGCCGTCTGGCTCTAGGACCTCTATCTCTTTTGTATCCAGGTCTCGAACATAACATTTTGACAGTTAAGGGGGTCGACAGTCAGAATATTAAGAAGAAGCTATTGTTTCATGCTTGCTGGAAACGTATTAATTTCAAAGCAATCATAACAGGAAGAACTTCGTACATACAATAAAATCATGCACGCATTTTACATGTGCTTATAGTGAGAGGTGGCAAGTCATGTTATGCAGAACGTTTTAACCGTTACTAATAATAATTTGATAATTTCATATTGTTTTGCTTGTTCAGTGTGCGGACTTGAATCGATGTGTCTGGTTGTACGTTGCTTATGATGGACTGGCTTACAGAACTTGATGTTTCATCGCAGCAAGCTTGTTTGACAAGGTCTTAGAACAGGAGAAGTGTAGTCTAGAAAAGTGCATCGAACACACCTTCAAAACTAAGCAATAAATTGTTATGTAAGACAGATTCAGCGTTATAACTATTTTTCGCACGTTGTTTTAGTTACTGTTGATATTAGTGTAAATTCGATGTTTGTGTCAGGAGACAATGTCTTCGATGTCGGCAATACTTTAGTTATTTCGTATATGTGGCATAACATTCCTTAAGAGAGATTTATTAAAAATTACTGAGCTGTTAGTATAACCAATCAGCAAGGAACGTCAATTACAATACGGCATAATCTGCAATAGGTAACTTATCCCTTTCCCTTTTTTAGTGCTACAGAAAATCAAGAAGAGATTAACCAACAATTTATTGATGCTTTGAAAAATGTTCGTGAGAGAGAACGCCGTAAGTTATTTTTTAGATGTACCAGGACGTTCTTATTTGAGCGTTGGGTTTTATATGTGCTGCTCGTTACTAAATTCTTGCGAAAACGGTAATCATAACAAAGCTTCCCAGTTAGTTCATAAAAATAGGAAAACTGGAGCTAAAAAAATACCTATCACTATCGTATTACATTCCAGTCACCTTTTTAGTTTCCTACAACCTGCTTTTGGACCATGTGTTTTGTTTATAATAAAGTACAAGTAACAGATATTTATTCTCTCGAACGGGAAAAAGTGATTCCGGTGATTTTTGCGAACGATATACAATATCTTTACACTATATTCTCAAGAGTATCTAAACACGTGAATAGTCACTAGAACCATTTCCAAACAGCCTGAACGGAACATCGAAATAGGCTCCCAACTCTTATTGAAATCCGAAAAGCTATAGCTAGTCTGAGACAAGAAACAGCAGCTGATCCAGATGAATTATCTCCAGAAGTCTTTAGGCATGGTGGTACAGTTTAAGCGATTAGGTTGACTAGTATTTCAGTTAAAATCTGGGAACTGGACGTAACCCCATCCAACTGGTTGCAATCACTGATCGTCCTAATGTATAAAAAAGGATCAAAATCATCCTGTGATAACCATAGAGGGATTAGCTTGACTAATATGGCATCTAAAATACTGGCCTCAATAATTATCGGACGTTTAACAAAGACTCATGAACTGTAAATACGCGAAAACCAGGTTGGCTTCAGACCTGGTAGTGGCTGCATCGACTACATATTCACTATTCGTCCGACAGTGATGGTTTTTCTTGACTTAAAAGCAGCGTTTGACTCTGTTGGCTGGAAGATTCTATGGCAGTCTGTCATTGGAAGACATACCTCAGAAGTAAATAAACCTCGTGAAGGCCCTTTACTCGAACACTACCAGTCGAGTCAGTGCTTATGGCGAAGTGTGTCATCTAATTTCGCAACCTCCAGCGGTATCTGGCAAGGCTTCCTTTATTTCCATTTTCGGTCACTTTCATCATAGACCTACTGCTGGAAATAACGTTGTCGTCGACTGAATTTTCGGGAATTGATCTCCTACCAGAAGGTCCACTTATTGACTTAGGATACGCAGATGACGTAGTCCTGTTTGGTGAATACGCTGATAAAATGCAGAACCTTTTGATAGCATTGGGAAACAATGTCAGGGTGTTTAGGGTGCGTTTCTCCTCTTCTAAATGCAAATTCTTGCTTCAGGACTGGCCTGTGTCAACACCTGAACTAAAGATAGGGAGTGAAGTAGTCGAATGCGTCGACAACTTCACTTATCTTGGAAGTTTGATCAACCCTAATGGGTTGGTGTTTGACGAAGTTTCTATACGGACTCGAAAAAATCGTTTGGCTTTTGCCAACTTACGTCACCTATGGCGAAGGCGAGATACCCGTCTATCAATTAAGAGACGAGTATACTACGCAGCAGTCCGTTCTGTCTTACTTAACAGCTGCGAAACAATGTCACTAAGGGTAAAGGATACTCGTAAGTTACTAGTAGTTCATTACATGTCTTGGAAATATTGCTTGCATCTGCTGGGATTACCAGGTAAGTAATGGTCAGGTTAGACTCAGGGTATTAGGGAATGATGGTAAGTCAGTTAGTGAGGTTGTAAATCATCATCGACTGAGATGATTGGGCCACGTGTTACGTATGCCTGAACACTGATTACCACGACGCGTGTTGGAGGTGGTAGGAAGGAAGTTAGGAGCGGCCAAACCAGATTTTTTTTATTTGAACACATATATATTGGCACAGGAGTACGCCAAATATATATGCGCCACACAAAACAATGAGAATTCGAAGAGAAAAGAAAAAAAAGGTAAGGAGCGTAAAAAAGAGAGAACAATACCGAAGAGATTGGTGTAAGGTAGTGCGGTAGTAGTGAGGGAACGGAAAGGTACAATCAGAAGAAATCTTTCAGTTAAGGGAGACACAACCACTTTTTATAAAGAAAGTAAAAGAAGGTTACAGCAGGATCGCCACTGGCTTCTATTCTGAGCCATATCTGATAACGTCTCTAGCCACTGTGTTGTACCATCTCTCGGACCCCAACCAGGGATTCGTGAAGGACCGACAGAAGCCAGTCCTTTGCAGCTTTCTTTCATACCACGACACCATGTCATGCACTGAGCACCTCTCCGCTTCTTCCAACCAGTCCCAGAGTCGGCAAATAATGCACGACGTGGAATTCTCTGGGACGACATTCGGAGAACATGTCCAAGCCACCGAAGTCAGTGTTTCAAGATGGTGACACCGATTGCATTATCGTCTCTGCGCCCGAACACACGATGCCGAACCTCTGCATTACTAACATGGTGTTGCCACTGGATGTCAGCAATCCTTCGGAGACAGCGATGATCGAACACAGAGAGTCGTCTAACGTCCTCAACTCGGAGAGACCAGGTTCCACAAGCATAGAGCAAAACTGCTCTCACCGACGCGTTGTAGATCCGACCTTTTACAGCCAGACTAACATCACGAAGGCGCCAAAGATGGCCCAGATTGGCATAAGCCGCTCTGGCTTTCACTATACGTGCATTGATCTCATCGCTCACACCCCCCACCAGCACTTATGCAGCTACCCAGATACACGAACTTCTCGACTACGTCTATCTGCTCACCATCCAGGGTGAGTACAGGATTGGAATCCTGCCAGTCTTGTAGAAGTACTTTGCACTTGGAAGGTGCAAAGCACATACCATACCTACGGACACTGATTGTCAACTGATTAAGTGCGGATTGCATGGCTTGGGCATTATCGCACAGTAAGACAATATCGTCCGCATACTCAAGGTCGAGAAGTCTTTCTCCAGGCAACAGATCCACACCGCCATTACTTACATCCATCAGAGCTGTTTCCAGAATGTCATCGATGGCAAAGTTGAAGAGGAATGGTGAGATTGGGCAACCCTGTCTAACCCCACTGCTCGTATGGAACAATGGAGAAAGATGGTTGTATGCCCTCACTCTGCCTGAGTTGTTTGTATATAGGGCTTTTAGGATGTTAATAAACTCAGGCACACCCTTCTTCAATAGACAATCCCAGAGAACAGCCCTGTCCAACGAATCGAAGGCATCCCTGATGTCAAGAAACATTACGATTGTTGGCCTTTGAAAAGTATGGCGGTGTTCTAACATTTGGCGGAGGGTGAAGATATGATCAATACATCCTCGACCAGAACGAAACCCAGCCTGCCCCTCGCGAGTCAATCTTTCTCGGGTTTTGAACAACCTACGAAGTATGACGGAAGCCAATAGGTTGGACGCAATCGGAAGTAGACTTATCCCCCGATAGTTGTTACAGGAACGACGTGAACCCTTTTTAAAGATAGGGACAACTATCGACTCGTTCCATGACGTTGGTACACTCTCTAACTCCCATACCTTTGTAAACAACGTCGTCAATTCCTTAGTCAGAAAGTCACCACCATCTTTAAAACGAGCCGGAGGTAAGTCATCTGGGCCAGGTGATTTGTAACGTTTCAAGAGTTGGAGTTCCTTGTGGACTTCCTCCTCGTTTGGTGGATCAGTCGTCACCGGCCATGGAGAGCAGGACAGTCTGACCGATGTTGCCGGAGCAACAGGCCAGTTGAACTGCCCTTCGAAAAATTCTGCCCATCGTCCAAGACGTCGGTGGATGTTAGTGATTGGCATCCCATCATCCTCGCAGATTGTTTCACTCACACCAGACTTCTTGCTGCCAGTGGCTCGGATGAGTTGGAAGAGCTTCCGGTAGTTACCAGATGCAACTGCTGCTTCCAGCTCATTAGCACGCTTCGACCACTAGGCTTTTCGGTCCTTACGCAAGCTTTGCCCAATTTTACTAAGTAACAACCTTCGTTTATGGTCAAACTCACGGTTACCCGGAGTAGACCGACGGGCTTCAATGAGTTGTAAGGAACCTGCAGAAACCCAGTGCTTATAAGCGGGACGTTTCGCGAACCCACAACTGACTGTACCCGCCATTTTCATGGCGTCATGCAATTGCAGCCAATGCTCATCTATACTTTTCGGTGGAATGGTAGCTAGCCTAGAAACTAGCTCGTTTCGATACTTACTAGCAACAGAAGTTGCAGCCAGTTTGCTAATATCAATCCGTTGGTGGCGGTCACTTCGTTGTCCACTGAAAAGTAAGGTAAGATTGGCGCAGACCAAGGCATGGTCAGAGTCCAGATAGGTACTCCAAAAGGAGCGGCAGTCTTGTACGCAACCACGCCAGCGGTAGCTGATCGCAATGTGATCAATCTGAGTCCAGGCTTGAGATGCAGAGGGAGGACGCCAGGTGGCACATCGGCGATGACTGTGCCGAAAGTTAGTGCTAGCTGGAAACAGGTTGTAGTCTGTGCACAGTTGCAGTAGACGGTCCCCGTTATCTGTCCTGCGACTAACAAGTCCCCATCGGCCACCTAAACGACCCTCTTCTGTGCCTAGACGCCCGACCTGAGCATTCAAGTCTCCGGCTAGTACTACAATATCTGTCGAACGCACTTTCTGGAGAAGAACAGATAACTGGTGGTAAAACTCATCCTTGATTGCATCCGGGCTGCAATCTGTCGGGGCATAGGCGGAGATGACGAAAAGACATCGTTTCTCACGCCGATTTCTTCTCACTTTGATGGAACTCTCTAATCTAACAGCACATAACCGACTGTTAGTGCGACACCAACGCCAGCAAGACCAGACGAAGATGCCACAGGGTCCCCGGATAAGCGCACGTAAAACAAGCTTTTTGAAGCGACAGATGGATATCGAATTTGTAGTACTTCGCCAGAGTCTTGAATACGGGTCTCGGATAGACAACAAACATCAATATTAAGACTTTCCAAAGACATAGCCAGCCCTATCTGTTGTCCGACCTGCATGAATGTGCGAACGTTGAAGGCAGCCAGTTTGAATGGTGCACGTGGTTTCAGAAAAACTGCTTCAGTACTCATATTCAGTGGTAACATACAATTTTCAACCGGACAGTGACTCGAGAACGTTTAGATACAGTCGAATTTCCACCATAGACGAGCTGCTGTATAAGTCGAAAAAAAAAGTATAGACAGAGTAGGAATAAAAGAGGGTGAATAATGACGTAGCAAATAATAATAATAATAGCAATAATAATAATTGAATCATTTGAATGTTCGTCGAAGCAATAGAATTAGTTTCCATGATCATAGACAGTTCAGTTCATTAATTGCGTGTGGGCTACGATACTGACCGGGTGCCCAGACCGAAGCAGGTGGTTATCTTAGGGGGCCACACATCGAGCCTTTGACCTAAAGGTCTAACCCACAAGGCAGTGGAGCATCGCAAGGAGATGCAGTCCCATGGTAGCCGCTGACCAACGATTGGTTCATACGCCATTTGTTCCCGCAGGATACTGGTGCCCATGTGCACCATAGATTTGGAATCCGGTTAAAGCGCCGGACATTCGCTTTTCGTCCTCTCATTTTCGTAAACAACACCCCCGTCACGAGAAGGCAGTGAGTAGGACTTCCCTGGCAGAGGCTGTATACGCGCGGCCGTGTGAGAGTATTTTGAGAGGGAGGGCGAACCCACCCCGCTCTCGGCCATACCAGGGCATTTGGGGGCCAAACCAGAACGTGACATCAGTCCATAAAGTCACTAACTTCTGGTCTGAGCCATGTCGTTAGATGCAGACTACTTGGTTTGGGTCCATGCGATTATCGTAATCAGTGGTTGGAGACTGGGTGATATAGCTCAGAATGGATCACAATGGCGCAAGTGTATACACTCTTCGTTTTCCCTTAAAACGTGAGATTAATGAGGTATGGGAACTTGGACCGATGCATATACGTGCGTCGTCCTACGTTGTAGATGACTGACTGACACTAGTAAATACATCTGCAACCATGTGGAAATCCCTGGATTAAAACTTCATCATGGAGCTGACGATAATTACTGGGTTTTGTGACTGACGTCATTTGTTACCTGCAACATAGTGGGTTTTTTAAGTAATCGAGGTAACATAAATTATTGTACATTTCATTATGTGCAGATTATAACAACAATTATTGCAGTCTATATTTTCTATCTCTAGTATTTTAATTTGCCTGAAGATATTTTAGAAGCTCATCCAACCAATAAATCAGATCCACCACTTTAAAAATTTTAGGACAAATAATCCTACTTTTAGATAGGTGTGTCTCTCCCAACTAAATATGTCACAGATTTAATCTTATTTATTTATTTGAACACATAAATATTGGTACAAGAGAGCGCCAATATATATGCGACAGATTTAATCTAATGACTGTTGAAATGCTTATCCGTCTGACGATTGTTCTTTACTAGTTACAGTATTTTCAACAGAATTAGGAGTAATTTATATTTTTGTAACATGTGAACTTTCTCTAGGTGCTCTTCTCCGTTTGACGCAGTCCAATAAAAAACCAATTGAGTCAGGTAATATTAACGCTGACGAAGAATTTCATCTAAACAGTCTGAATAAATTAATTGTGAAGGAACTATCGGATATCAAATTTGATGAGGACAAATATGAATCAGATGATTATAAATCTAGTTAGCGAGATTGCATTAAAATATACTTGTAAATTTCATAAAGCAGATTATTTCCAAACCATCTTTCTTTTTTTGAATGGTATTATAAGAAAACTGAGGTACTATACACAAGCTCACTTTATGTAACCAACAGATTTTATAAGTCTGTTATAAAATTGAAAACATTCGACTCAACAGTTTGGTGCCATCGTGAAATACCTGAAGGCTTTAAGTTGCGTTTAAAATCTTTAATACTGGCACATATATCGTGCCTCTAGTTATAAATAATTGTCACTTGGCATTAGAACTGCCTTTTACTTGGCGCAGAAAACTGAGTATATGGACTAAGGAATACCCACCAAAAATCTATGGAAATTACGAATGCATTATACAAAAACATTTTGGACGTCACACTTTTCTTCCATAGCACCAAGCTGCGTGGTCAGCACAAGTGTAGACATGGTCTTTTCGGGATCAATAGCATCCACTCAGTTGAAAGTCAGTGCCCACAGTTATAACACTTCCAACATTTTATCCATTAGCTCGATTCTTGAGATCCAAACCTGTTTGCATTCTCCCTTAATAGTATTGACTTGTCATAGGAAAGATATTCATTCTCCAAGTTGTAGTTCTGTTGTGCAGTTTTCATTATTTCTGGACAATGTCAAAACAAGCTTTATGAGAAGTGACTTATTACAATCTTTTCACGAGGGGACTAACGGCTCGTGCCGTTGACATACTTGACAGCACAGTCTGCATTTTCCAGATGGTCCTTCCCTATGGTTTGATTATTGATTGTATAGCTCTTCATAATTTAATTGGTTTGGATTGGGTCTGCGTTAGGGTATTTACTGATTTCTAGAAATCTTCCGACTCCGAAAATAAAGAGCATTAGAAGGCATCACCACGTACCGCCAGTCTTTTCCACCATCTCAGGAGTTTAACTAGTCAACAGCATTCTCACAAAAAAACACTTATACACAGGTTACGTCTGCACTAGCATCAATTTCAACAAGAGTTGCGTATTTACCCGTGCCTAACATGCATATTTACGATTTTCTCTGCTGAAGAGAGAAATCTCGAGTTGTAGATCCTTTACGTTCTATGAAAGTGACAATATATTCGTATCTCTTAACAGTTGCTTTTGTGCAATTCACATAATCATATGATGATTATATCCAGCCAGTGCTCTTCTTAAAAAACACCGTAGTTTGGAATCAATGAGACTAGATTTGCCAGGAACCTAATTTCCTAGAGACTTAAAACCTCAGAGTGAGCCGGAAATAACCAAGCGGCGCCAATATCATTTGGATTTATGTTAGGTTCTTGCTGAGGTGAAAATGAGCTCATTTGGTTCAACATAAGACTATATTCATCAGTTTGATCCCACCGGCAGTCGCCTAACAAAACTCAATGAAGTATGACTACTTCATAGCACTACGTGACAATACACAGGGTTTAAATGATTAAGGTTGTTTCAACTTTTGGATCATCACAGAGCTAAATACGAAATATTGTAATAAGTGATCAACCAAGACGGGTATAAAGATATGCAGTACGAACTTTCACTGTACAGAGTCATGTTAAAATAACTGCAAAATATTCAGTTAAAAAATGATGAGTAAAGACAAAGTATTTTCCCAAAGCGCGAACATACTGTGACGACGTATGTTCAGAGGAAACAACAAAGTGATGATTTGTTTAGTACGAGTCATAAAATAGTTTGATTATTCTTATTGTTTAGGAATGAAATATTATGTCGTACAATAAATATTACTGCAAGGAGTCGAAAATATGAATCGACCCCACAACCATACATCATCAAAAAAATCACAGATTATCCGAAAGTCTGTACATGAAAAACAACTGTATACATAGAAGACTAAAAAAGAGTTCCCTCGGGCACTACACGATTTACCTCACTGGGAAAACATTAAAAGATTCAAAACATGTAGGCGCAGGAAATGACCAGTAAATTCAATGAAGTGTTTGGAAAGAATAATCGGCAATAAACAGTATATTAGTGTCAAGCATTTAGATTTCTGTAAAAAGGACCAGATAAGTCGATTTCGTTTTGTACAATTTTATGCTAAGGGGACAGTTCAGGAACAATGAAACTAATTTGACAAAATAAACTGAGACAACTCAATAGGTTGTGGAAACAGTGAATGTACAAGATGCGCTGTAAGCGCACGAAAACTGCTATAGTTAACAAGACATGAGTTTAAGGCTTAATTGTGTGGTTGCAAAAGTAGTAATGTTAAATCCCTACTTTGAACTCATTGTATTTAGCAAGACAGAGGAAAAGACGAGATCTTGGAACGAGAACAGTAAGACTGGCTGAAAATTGGTACTAATATGGAAAACATGTCAGGACTGCTGCTGTGGTCGTCCTAAAGATACCACTGTACGTGCAGGAGTAGGCAATCTTAAGATAGGTATTGTTTGTTGACGACACAAAATGTAATCCGGCATAATATTACTTTGTTGAATTATCCTGCGACGTTGATCTCGCGTGCACATAATGATAGGTTGGTGGTTTGAGTTTCCGAATGAATTGGATAAATGTAGACGATCTAAAGTGGGATATTCATTAGTACGCCATATCATTTCACGATCTTCTTGTGCAGGATCAACGAACAATGCGGAACCCATACCTGGATCCGATAATATGAAACTACGATCGAATTCTTGTTTTATAAAACAATCTTCCTCTTCTACTTCACCTTCGTCATTATCGTCATCAATATCATCTTCATTAGGATTGACAAATGATTTGGAATGTTTTCGCCTGCCGGATGTATATTTTGGTACTATAATGTACGGGTCATTTCGCAATTCACATTTGGAGCCTGTGGATACAGATAAGGGTGTTTCATCAATCGTATATGGAGGTGGGGGCAATTCATGAGCAGTATATCGTGATGCAGAGGTTGGACGAGTATAACCTCGAGGAGCCTTTATATAAGTTGGTTTTGAGTTGGAAGAATTAGATGAGGTTACCATAAAAGGAGATGTACTCTTAACTTGTACATTATTTTCTCCGTCATTATCTGGAGTAGGATAGGGTTTATTCGAATCATTAACATTATCGGCAACCGAAGCCTGCTGAGAAATTGGCAGTTCATCAAGTTCAGAGAAGTAGCCGGGCGTTTGTGAAGTTGTTGAAGAGCTACGAGGACCTCTATTAAACACAAAAGACCATAAATAATGATAAAACAATAAGATTATTTTTTCGCATGTAACAACAGGGGTATCAAGCTAACTGGATATTAGAGTCAAGAAAGGTCGCCACATTTTCGATGTGCGCAAAAATAATATTTCGACATAATCAAGTTGATGTATGAGAAAAATAAACTTACCGGTATCTGACCTTGGCATGTGTCATAATATGAGACTTTAAATTTGTTGATTGAGCAAAGCGTTTATGACAGTTCTCAAAGGGGCATATGTAAGGACGATCACCAGTATGTATACGTACATGTGTACGTAAATTGAAATCCAATGAAAAACGCTTGCCACAACCCTGAAAATTTCAATATACAACCAAAATAAGGAGATAAAGGTAATTTTATCACGAACACAAAATTTTATGCGATTATCATAAAAAAATTCTAGAAGGTAACTTGAGTAAAAAATACGAACAATTTACCTTTAGTCTTGTTTATCATAGTCTCACCTTGACCGATGTCGTAGAGACAATGCTCTTTTCACTTAGTGTAAAAGTATGAGACATTCAACTAAAGGTTTATTTTGTTGATGTTCGTTTGTCGATAGTTATAAGTGAAACAACAGTTAGTCACAACTTAGGACTTGGACATATATTCGTCGGTTCAAATTGCCATACCCTATTAGAACAGAGAGATCACGTTATCAAGCTAGACTCCAGAATGGCAGAGGTAGTGGCAATAGAGAAGAATAGGTATCGAAGATACCACTCGAAAAAAAACATAGATTAGTGAAACAAAAAAAGTGATGATGAATTTAGAATCTCAGGATTTGGGTAAAGGCAAAGAATAGATGCACCTGAGCCACTGCAAATGATTTCCAACCATGTCATTAAAAGTCTGTAACCACCAGTTATGATAAAAACGCGGACCCCAATCAGGTAATCTGTATCCAGTAGCATGGTTGAGTCTAATTGTCAATGAGTGTCGGTGATATACTTTCTCATGAATTATTTAGTCGAACAGAAGCAGGTAGACCGCAGTATAAATGACAACTGAGAAATATGGGTGACGACAGTCGAGAAACAATAATATACCAATATTTGCTGAATAAGTTACGCTTTGGTGAAAAGTGATATCACGGCACATTTATTTAATTCAGTAACCGGATGGCGATTAAAGCTCGTAGGTATAACACGATTTTCGTAACATTGAGGTGTGAAGTACTCTCATGGGATTGACGGTTTTCTTTGCACTCACTCAATGGTGATCTGTTGGAACGTGTTTAGTACTACCTCAATTTTAGTCTATCGGGTATACAACACTTTGGTGTGAATTTTGCTTTGGATAATGTGAAACTTTGAGTCTAAAAGGTGAACGGATCTAACAACTCTGAGGTTGATCATTATTTCTGAAGAACTTCCCGCTCTTGTTGGGAACATTACTGAGGTTTTGTAACCCGTTTAATAAGAACACTGAAATGTTTTTTTGCCACAGCTTTCTGTTTTCTATTTATTTCCAATAGTTATTTAGTTGTGTGATGGCTTATTGTTCTAAGTATAGCTTGTTTCAAATAAATATTGCCTTGAGAAAATCCAAAAACTACCTTTATGATACCAAAACTCACCTCAAAGTTGCATTGGAAAGGCTTTTCACCAGTATGAACTAGTTGATGTCTTTTTAATTTGCTAGATTCAACAAATGCTTTTCCGCACTCAGCACAAACATGTACCCGTGGACCGTGTGTATGCAAATGCTTGCGCATAGCAGAATTGTCACGAAAAAGCTTTCCACAACCTTTATGTGGGCACGGCACCGTACGAAGCATATTGCTAGAGTTCGAGGATCCGTACACAACAGGTGGATTAATGTCATTAGATCCAGAGGATTCCAAACATCCTGGAGCAGGGG